TGAAAGAGAAGGAAGAGGAGGAGAGAGGGAGGAGAGAGAGAGAAGGAAGAAAAATAAGAAAGAGGGAGAGAGAGAGAAAGGGGAGAGGGCAATAGGGTTAGAGGAGGATAGAGGGAGAGAAAAAGAAAGAAAGATTTAAAAAAAAAAAAATGAGTTAGAAGAGAAAATAGGGCAAGAGAAGGAAAAGCGAGCGAGAGAAGAAAGAGATGGAGAAAGAGGGAGAGAAGAGACAAATAAGAACAGGATATTACCAGAGAAAAAAAAAAAAAAAAAAAAAGCCAATACAGACAGTGGGCTCCCTTCCCTTGTGTCACTAATTGTGTGTCAGTGCAACGTGAAAGTGAAGCTTCAAACGAGATGTTCAACCACTACAGCAGATACACAGAGGAGAAGAAAAGAAAAAAGAAGAGGAGGAAGAGAGGAGAGGAGAGAGGGATGAATATAAAACACACAGCATTTTAAAAGGGCCCATACCACACTATTTTCTGATCTGTTATAACCAGTGTTGGGGAGTAACGGATTACATGTACCGCCGTTACGTAATCAGAGTACAAATTATGAGTAACTGTATTCCGTTACAGTTACTGTTTCAACTGAGTGGTAATTGGATTACAGTTACTTTGCTGAAATAAGTGGATTACAAGGCGGTATTTTCCTGTTTTCACATTTTGTGCTACATCCCATTTATTTATTTTTTTTATTTCGGTAATTCCACTCATTGCTGGAAACCCAAACAGAACGCGACAGTAAGAGCGATGTAAACGTCATGTTAAAGTTGGCGGTGTCAGTCACACAGTGGAAGCAGCAGTGCATTGGTAAAACGCATTGTGTCTTGGAAATTCTTCTCCCGATGTGAGATAATATATAAAAAAACAAAAACAATATAAATCGCCTACAACTTAAATGTGAAACAGGAGCTACTGGCACTGGTGAAAACAACCTGCATAGACTCATAATATCTGCACTACTGTCATATACACAAACATACACAACACACACAAACACACACAAACACACACACACAAACACACAAACACAAACACACACAACACACAAACAAACACACACAAACACAAACACAAACACACAAAACACACACACACACACAACACACACAAACACACACACACACACAAACACCACACACAAAACACAACACAAACACACACAAAACACAAACACACACAACACACACACACAACACACAACACAAACACACACACACAAACACAACAAACACACACACAACACACACAACACACACAAACACACACACAAACAAACACACACACAACACAAACACACACAACACACACACACAAACACAAACACACCACACACACCCAAACAACACACAACCACACACACACAAACACACACACAACACCACAACACACACACAAACACACACAACACACACACACACACACACACACACAAAACAACACACACACAAACACACACACAAACACACACACACAACACAACACACACACAACACAACACACACAAACACACACACACACACAACACACAAACAAACACACACACACACACACACAAACACACACAAACACACACCACACACACACACACACACAAACACACACAAACACACACAACACAAACACACACACACACACACAACAAACACAAACACACACACACACACACAAACACACACACAAACACACACAACACACACACACACAAACAAACACAAAACACACACAACACACACAAACAACAAACACAACACAAACACAAACACACACACACACACCAACACACACACACAACACACAACACACACACACACACACAAACACAACACACACACACACACACACACACAACACACACACAAACACACACACCAACAAACACACAAACACACACACAAACACACACAACACACACACAAACACAAACACACAAACACACAAACACACACCTTCATCATCGTCATCAACCTGAGAACCCGCGGACCACGTCTCCTTCCGTAGTTACAGCGTGGACACGACGTCGTCTCGTGCGGCGCGTGTGGACTGTGTTTTCTCGCGTAAACCACTGTGCACCTCTAAACCAGAACTAACACCAGGACTAACCAGGACTAACCAGGACTAAACCAGGACTAAACCAGGACTAAACCAGGACTAAACCAGGACTAAACAGGACTGAACCAGGTTTAAACTAGGACTAAACCACGACTAAAACCAGAACTAAAGACCTGGTCTACCTGGTCTAGACCTGGTCTAAAACCAGGACTAAACCAGGTCTAAAAATCAGGACTAAACCAGGACTAAACCAGGTCTAAACAACATGACACCTAACAGTAGGTTGACATAATTTAAGGTGATCTCATATATAAAAATAATTTCTCTATCAATAATATTTTTTAATATGGGTGAAGGAAAGTCTGATCTTGTTTCTGTCTTTTAACAGACAAAACCTCTTATATTCAGATCTCGT